GACCGTGTTCTCTTCAGACTCCACCGACACTAGAGAGCTCCTCTGGTTCAGGGTTAACGAGGACCGACCGGTGGTCCCGGTACCTTTGAACCAGAGAATGTAGCTGGTCATCCTTCCTGTTGCTCTGACGTCATGAATCTGCTCATATTCAGGTCAACAGAGCCGGTCAGTCACAGCAAACACAGCAGAGACGCTCTGAACCCATTTATTAGGAAAACCTGGGGTCACGGAGGGTTAAGTGAGCGGTGGCGTGTTGTTCCTCCATTCAGCATATCTGATTTAATACGCATCGGAGCAGAGGGGGGAGGGGCGTCCCAAATAAACTCAGCGGATATTAAAGGTCAACGGGTCGTCCAACATGTGTTTTTTCTGAGACCGGAGCAGACGAGTCACATGTGGACCGAGTGTTTACAGCGAGACTTGTTAAACGATGCCAGCAGCTTCTTAATGAGTTCAGAGGAGCTTCAGTTTAACACCTTTATTTACTTTTAACTACTTTTCTTAAACGTGTTGCACTTTGTATTATATTTACTTTTAATAAATCCTTAATCTAACATCAAGCTCAACGTCTGACGCATTAAAGTTCATACTTTAGATCCTCAGTTTGTTCGAGGACGAATCAAAATACGTTAACGTATATAGCAAAACTCATCAAAACTGCTTATGAAATATGTTGTATTTCTGTGTTTAATTGTGTTGATCCAGGAATAAGTGACCAAACATGCTTTTAATTTAATTTAATTTAATTTAACAATGTGGATTTTACGGAAGTGAGAAACAGAAATTCTCCATTTTCTAGGAATCTGAATCTTAAGTTTCTTGTGAATTTATGTTTTTGTTGTAATACTAATTCTGGCCTCAAGAGGCTGAAGTGCGTCTCTGAATACGACTAAAATAATTCATGTTTTTATCAACACAACTTGCTAAAACACAATAATTTGTGTTTAAACTCATCTAAAAGAAAACATGACTTTTCTTAGTTTTAGTTAGAACATGAAGTCGAGGAGCACTTCAGCCTCTTGTGGCCACAATGAGAATTACAACAACAAACATGACGGTTAGATATAATGTAACCCTGTGAGTGCCTTGCTCAGGGGCACAGCTGAGGCTCTGACGTAGTTTGGGGACGGACAGGAAGCAGCTCTGTGGAACTCATCAGTGTCACATTTCTCACTTTTAGAAGATATTAATATTATTGTTGCTCAGAGGAAAGATTGTTTCCACATGTGAGCGTGAGACCATCGGTTGTTTTAACATGATTCATATTTTCATTTCACTGAGGACGAGGAAGATCAGATGAGGAAGATCAGATGAGGAAGATCAGGCTGCAGATGAGTTTAAAGATATTTTATTGTTTTTACTGAATCAGTCAAAACTTCTGCATGAACACAGAACTCGGTTTGTTTGTTAGAGACTAAACAAGAACAGCAGGCTATTAAATACATTTCTATTTATTTTAATTTTTCTAAATAAAATAACTTTTTTCACTTAAATCGAAATTATATAAATATTTTAAATAATTTAATATTATTAAAATATTATCATATTTATAATATTTTTATATATTTTATAATATTATATATATTATTAAAACTGTTCCGACGTTAATCAATCGTGTCGATTGATTTGTATGAGAGATAATCAAACTTTATTTTAAACAGAATTTATTTTGATGTTTGTTAAATTTAATGATCTTAATACTTCAATACTTCAATAAATACTTTGTGTTCACCTCAGTCACTGTTTTAAATGTAAATATTTAAATAAAAACAAACACATTAATCATCTGCATGTTGTAGAAACGATCAATAAATCATAAAGTATTCATGAATTAATGATATTTGTGTTGCTGTGTGGTTTGTCCACAGGAGGGCGCTGTTTCCTCTTTTAACTAATATGAATCTGAATTATTAGTCTCAACACGTTTCAATAACTTCAGTTACTGCAAATCAAACAGCTTCTGATCTCATTAATATATTCATTTATATATATTATATATTTAAAATACAATAAGTACAGATTGATGTTTATTAGAAATAGAACAGATCTATAAAGGTTTCATCTGATTCCCTTTTTAATACTTTATATATATATATATATGATATTATTATATCATTATTATTATCAATCTGACTTTTAGCTTTTTATTAAACAAACTCTGAACTTTAGACATACACTGTATTAATCTGTTGGTTTGAGATTTGCATGCAGTTCCCTCAGACGACCACCACGTGTCGCTGTTTCATGTATAATCAGAATATAAATAATAATCAGGACATCCCATCATACACACTGAGGTTATTGATCCGGGAATCAATATTAACTGAACAACACAGACTTCTTCATGATATTCAATCTACATTAAATACATTTAATTCTCCTTTAAATATGAATTAAATTAAATATGCTGTAAATACTTTAAAACGTATGTAACATTTTACATCGTTTTAGGAGCTTATTGTGTGTTTTATACGGATTCATATTCTTAATATTTCTGCTGTTTTGCTGCGTTACTTTCCTAAAACATTTTTAATTAAAAGTTGATTAATAAGAACAATTATTGAATATTATTATATTTATATTTAGTGTAAAGTGCAGCAGGAATAAAATCATATTCATATTTCTATTTGTACATTTGTGTGAATCACAATCAGCGAACTCTGCTCCTAAATATGAATTAATATGTTTCATTAATTCAACCTTTATTTAAACAAAACGGTGCAAACAATGTGAACATTCAGCAAAACAATAAAAGTTAATAAAATAAAAATAACCATAAATACGAGATAAAGACAAATACATAATAATAATGACTATTGTTCATATAAGTTATGATATTAATCAATAGTTTAAGTTGCCTGTTGAAGCTGAATATTGAGATGATTAATAATCTGGATCTGTTTATTGATCACAGATAAATTATGATGAGGTTAGGGGGGGGGTCAGAGAGGAAGAGGAGGAGGAGGAGGAGGGCGCTGAAGAAGCTCCGCAGCATCCCGCTGAAAGTTCCGTCTCCTCACTTGTTAAAAGTCTCCTCCGTGTTTCTTTGAGCTCCGGTGGATCCCGGAGAAAAACCCGGACCCGGTGCCCGCTGCGCCCTCACTCTGACACGGACTAACTCTCCAGAGAAGCCGCGCGGAGCTCCTGCAGATGGATGTTTGTTCTCTTCATTAAGTTTGACTCGGAGAAGACAGAAGAAGTTTGAAGGAGGCCGAGGAGTCGAGAGGAGAGCAGCCGGCCGAGAGGAGCCCAGGACGGGACACTTGGGGTGAGTTGGTCCGCCATGTGCTCCGCGCCGCTTCCATGTGAGTCTCCATCAGGCACCGTGAACCGGTGCTCATATTCATATTCATATTCATCCAGTCTTCTTATTGTAAAGGCTCTAAAGTGATGTTTGAGAGACGCGTTCTGCAGAAACACTTTAAACCTTCTTATTAATCTGTTTATTAATCTGCTCTTTATTCATTTATCACTAACATAAATAGAGTCGTTTATGGAAGCTTGATTTCTGCTG